ACAACACATACCTCAACATATACTATGTATTTTCTTATAAGGAACAATATGCTTGAAAGTAGAGTTTTTTAATCAATTTATTAATGAAGTCATATTAATGAAATATGTATTGTTTTTAAGATATTCTGGAAACAATAATGGTTTAAGTTACTGTTTAACTTTATGTTCTTTGTTGCAGAGGTTATACAGAAATAGTTCGTTTATTACTAGAAAATGGTGCAGACCCGAATCAGCGTGACTGTATAGGAAACACGCCGTTGCATCTAGCTACGGTTAACAGCAAACTATCAGTAGTGACACTGCTCTTAACAGCTGGTACTGACGTTCTTGCATTAGATTCATATGGTTATAATCCATTGCAACTAGCGAAAACGAAATTAAGAATGTTACAAAGAAACTGTAATAATGAGGATATGCTTGAGATCAAGGAAGAGATGCATAATGTGATTAATATGTTGATGGCATATCTGCAAAAGCAAAAGAATATGCGAGAACAGGTAGAAACGTTGAGCAATTTTTGCTCACGTCTTTCCTTATCTAATACCTCAGATCAAGTTCAGGATAATGTTAAAGATTTACTGGCAAACATAAATGCTCTTAGTATAACTGATTAATCACAAAGATATGCTATTGTAATATTATACATTCATATAAAGTTTAGTAACATTTTTATTAAAAACTTAAAAAAATATATGTGTCTTTGTATATTATGCTTTTATGTGTGTCCATGCAAACTAGACCGCATTTTATTCATAAATGTAATCAGTTTTTTATATTTTGCAAAGATTTAATTTTTTTATCGTCATACTTTTTTAGAAAAAATCATTTGAGAATTTGGTTAACTCTAAAATATGATTGATTTTTAATTTAATGTATGGTCTAAAAACATTATTACTATTATGATACTTGTAATTACATAATTACATATGTGATAAGATAGGCTTAGGCTTCTCTCTCTTTCTCTCTCTCTTTCTCTCTCTCTCTCTCTCTCTTTCTCTCTGCAGATTGAATACCCATGAATTAGACATAATTAATAATTAATAGAGTGGACAAAAATGATTAGTTTTTGTATTTTGCGATTGTTTTATATAGTAGCAATAAAAAAATATAAAAAATTATGAATTGTAAATAATTCAAGAGGGCTCAATTGAGTGACCGAAACGTATAATATATATTTGATTTTTTTTTTTAATTAATTACAGATTATTATATACTTTTTGTTGGAATTTTCATATTTTAAAAAATTTTGTATATTTGACTCTTATATGTCCTGTAAATTCTTATTGATTATGAATTTAAAGGGTCAAATATAAAAAATAATATTCTAATTCTAATATTGCACTTAATATTTTTTAATTATTAAAATTTAATAACTTGAACATATGACATAATTCTAACGAGAGAGAGAGAGAGAGAGAGAGAGAGAGAGAGAGAGAGATTGGATTTTTAAAATATTAAAGCTAGAAGCTGTATATAAAATTGTCTTGTGCAATAAGTATTGAATATTTTTTTATATGCTTATGTGCTTGCGACTAGTGAAAGAAAAATTAATAATTTAAATAATATGTATCTATATTATAG